CACTTTCCAATAGAGCAGTACTAGTCCTGGAAGCATTTGACGTTTCCGGAATTGTGAATTTTTGAAGGAATATGGGTGGGTATATTTTGAGAATCGTTGTTTTTGCGAGCCTGCAAGGGTACTCGGACCCGACCTCTAGGACTGGCCTGGAGTTTTGTATTAGATTTCTCACTTTCCAATAGAGCAGTACTAGTCCTGGAAACATTTGACGTTCCCGGAATCGTGAATTTTTGAAGGAATATGGGTGGGTATATATTGAGAATCGTTGTTTTTGCGAGCCATTGCAAAGGTACTCGGACCCAACCTCTGGGACTGGCCTGGAGTTTTGTATTAGATTTCTCACTTTCCAATAGAGCAGAATTAGTCCTGGAAACATTTGACGTTTCCGGAATCGTGAAGTTTTGAAGGAATATGGGTGGGTATATATTGAGAATCGTTGTTTTTGCGAGCCATTGCAAAGGTACTCGGACCCAACCTCTGGGACTGGCCTGGAGTTTTGTATTAGATTTCTCATTTTCCAATAGAGCAGAACTAGTCCTGGAAACATTTGACGTTTACGGAATCGTGAAGTTTTGAAGGAATATGGGTGGGTATATATTGAGAATCGTTGTTTTTGCGAGCCATTGCAAAGGTACTCGGACCCGACCTCTAGAACTGGCCTGGAGTTTTGTATTAGATTTCTCACTTTCCAATAGAGCAGTACTAGTACTGGAAACATTTGACGTTTCCGGAATTGTGGATTTTTGAAGGAATATGGGTAGGTATATATTGAGAATCGTTGTTTTTGCGAGCCATTGCAAAGGTACTCGGACCCAACCTCTGGGACTGGCCTGGAGTTTTGTATTAGATTTCTCACTTTCCAATAGAGCAGAACTAGTCCTGGAAACATTTGACGTTTCCGGAATCGTGAAGTTTTGAAGGAATATGGGTGGGTATATATTGAGAATCGTTGTTTTTGCGAGCCATTGCAAAGGTACTCGGACCCAACCTCTGGGACTGGCCTGGAGTTTTGTATTAGATTTCTCATTTTCCAATAGAGCAGAACTAGTCCTGGAAACATTTGACGTTTACGGAATCGTGAAGTTTTGAAGGAATATGGGTGGGTATATATTGAGAATCGTTGTTTTTGCGAGCCATTGCAAAGGTACTCGGACCCGACCTCTGGGACTGGCCTGGAGTTTTGTATTAGATTTCTCACTTTCCAGTAGAGCAGTACTAGTCCTGGAAGCATTTGACGTTTCCGGAATCATGAATTTTTGAAGGAATATGGGTGGGTATTTATTGAGAATCGTTGTTTTTGCGAGCCATTGCAAAGGTACTCGGTCCCGACCTCTAGGACTGGCCTGGAGTTTTGTATTAGATTTCTCACTTTCCAATAGAGCAGTACTAGTCCTGGAAGCATTTGACGTTTCCGGAATCGTGAATTTTTGAAGGAATATGGGTGGGTATATATTGAGAATCGTTGTTTTTGCGAGCCATTGCAAAGGTACTCGGACCCGACCTCTAGGACTGGCCTGGAGTTTTGTATTAGATTTCTCACTTTCCAGTAGAGCAGTACTAGTCCTGGAAGCATTTGACGTTTCCGGAATCATGAATTTTTGAAGGAATATGGGTGGGTATATATTGAGAATCGTTGTTTTTGCGAGCCATTGCAAAGGTACTCGGACCCGACCTCTAGGACTGGCCTGGAGTTTTGTATTAGATTTCTCACTTTCCAATAGAGCAGTACTAGTCCTGGAAGCATTTGACGTTTCCGGAATCGTGAATTTTTGAAGGAATATGGGTGGGTATATATTGAGAATCGTTGTTTTTGCGAGCCATTGCAAAGGTACTCGGACCCGACCTCTAGGACTGGCCTGGAGTTTTGTATTAGATTTCTCACTTTCCAATAGAGCAGTACTAGTCCTGGAAACATTTGACGTTCCCGGAATCGTGAATTTTTGAAGGAATATGGGTGGGTATATATTGAGAATCGTTGTTTTTGCGAGCCATTGCAAAGGTACTCGGACCCAACCTCTGGGACTGGCCTGGAGTTTTGTATTAGATTTCTCACTTTCCAATAGAGCAGAACTAGTCCTGGAAACATTTGACGTTTCCGGAATCGTGAAGTTTTGAAGGAATATGGGTGGGTATATATTGAGAATCGTTGTTTTTGCGAGCCATTGCAAAGGTACTCGGACCCAACCTCTGGGACTGGCCTGGAGTTTTGTATTAGATTTCTCACTTTCCAATAGAGCAGAACTAGTCCTGGAAACATTTGACGTTTCCGGAATCGTGAAGTTTTGAAGGAATATGGGTGGGTATATATTGAGAATCGTTGTTTTTGCGAGCCATTGCAAAGGTACTCGGACCCAACCTCTGGGACTGGCCTGGAGTTTTGTATTAGATTTCTCATTTTCCAATAGAGCAGAACTAGTCCTGGAAACATTTGACGTTTACGGAATCGTGAAGTTTTGAAGGAATATGGGTGGGTATATATTGAGAATCGTTGTTTTTGCGAGCCATTGCAAAGGTACTCGGACCCGACCTCTAGGACTGGCCTGGAGCTTTGTATTAGATTTCTCACTTTCCAATAGAGCAGTACTAGTACTGGAAACATTTGACGTTTCCGGAATTGTGAATTTTTGAAGGAATATGGGTAGGTATATATTGAGAATCGTTGTTTTTGCGAGCCATTGCAAAGGTACTCGGACCCAACCTCTGGGACTGGCCTGGAGTTTTGTATTAGATTTCTCACTTTCCAATAGAGCAGAACTAGTCCTGGAAACATTTGACGTTTCCGGAATCGTGAAGTTTTGAAGGAATATGGGTGGGTATATATTGAGAATCGTTGTTTTTGCGAGCCATTGCAAAGGTACTCGGACCCAACCTCTGGGACTGGCCTGGAGTTTTGTATTAGATTTCTCATTTTCCAATAGAGCAGAACTAGTCCTGGAAACATTTGACGTTTACGGAATCGTGAAGTTTTGAAGGAATATGGGTGGGTATATATTGAGAATCGTTGTTTTTGCGAGCCATTGCAAAGGTACTCGGACCCGACCTCTGGGACTGGCCTGGAGTTTTGTATTAGATTTCTCACTTTCCAGTAGAGCAGTACTAGTCCTGGAAGCATTTGACGTTTCCGGAATCATGAATTTTTGAAGGAATACGGGTGGGTATTTATTGAAAATCGTTGTTTTTGCGAGCCATTGCAAAGGTACTCGGTCCCGACCTCTAGGACTGGCCTGGAGTTTTGTATTAGATTTCTCACTTTCCAATAGAGCAGTACTAGTCCTGGAAGCATTTGACGTTTCCGGAATCGTGAATTTTTGAAGGAATATGGGTGGGTATATATTGAGAATCGTTGTTTTTGCGAGCCATTGCAAAGGTACTCGGACCCGACCTCTAGGACTGGCCTGGAGTTTTGTATTAGATTTCTCACTTTCCAGTAGAGCAGTACTAGTCCTGGAAGCATTTGACGTTTCCGGAATCATGAATTTTTGAAGGAATATGGGTGGGTATATATTGGGAATCGTTGTTTTTGCGAGCCATTGCAAAGGTACTCGGACCCGACCTCTAGGACTGGCCTGGAGTTTTGTATTAGATTTCTCACTTTCCAATAGAGCAGTACTAGTCCTGGAAGCATTTGACGTTTCCGGAATCGTGAATTTTTGAAGGAATATGGGTGGGTATATATTGAGAATCGTTGTTTTTGCGAGCCATTGCAAAGGTACTCGGACCCGACCTCTAGGACTGGCCTGGAGTTTTGTATTAGATTTCTCACTTTCCAATAGAGCAGTACTAGTCCTGAAAACATTTGACGTTCCCGGAATCGTGAATTTTTGAAGGAATATGGGTGGGTATATATTGAGAATCGTTGTTTTTGCGAGCCATTGCAAAGGTACTCGGACCCAACCTCTGGGACTGGCCTGGAGTTTTGTATTAGATTTCTCACTTTCCAATAGAGCAGAACTAGTCCTGGAAACATTTGACGTTTCCGGAATCGTGAAGCTTTGAAGGAATATGGGTGGGTATATATTGAGAATCGTTGTTTTTGCGAGCCATTGCAAAGGTACTCGGACCCAACCTCTGGGACTGGCCTGGAGTTTTGTATTAGATTTCTCATTTTCCAATAGAGCAGAACTAGTCCTGGAAACATTTGACGTTTACGGAATCGTGAAGTTTTGAAGGAATATGGGTGGGTATATATTGAGAATCGTTGTTTTTGCGAGCCATTGCAAAGGTACTCGGACCCGACCTCTGGGACTGGCCTGGAGTTTTTTATTAGATTTCTCACTTTCCAGTAGAGCAGTACTAGTCCTGGAAGCATTTGACGTTTCCGGAATCATGAATTTTTGAAGGAATATGGGTGGGTATATATTGAGAATCGTTGTTTTTGCGAGCCATTGCAAAGGTACTCGGTCCCGACCTCTAGGACTGGCCTGGAGTTTTGTATTAGATTTCTCACTTTCCAATAGAGCAGTACTAGTCCTGGAAGCATTTGACGTTTCCGGAATCGTGAATTTTTGAAGGAATATGGGTGGGTATATATTGAGAATCGTTGTTTTTGCGAGCCATTGCAAAGGTACTCGGACCCAACCTCTGGGACTGGCCTGGAGTTTTGTATTAGATTTCTCATTTTCCAATAGAGCAGAACTAGTCCTGGAAACATTTGACGTTTACGGAATCGTGAAGTTTTGAAGGAATATGGGTGGGTATATATTGAGAATCGTTGTTTTTGCGAGCCATTGCAAAGGTACTCGGACCCAACCTCTGGGACTGGCCTGGAGTTTTGTATTAGATTTCTCACTTTCCAATAGAGCAGAACTAGTCCTGGAAACATTTGACGTTTCCGGAATCGTGAAGTTTTGAAGGAATATGGGTGGGTATATATTGAGAATCGTTGTTTTTGCGAGCCATTGCAAAGGTACTCGGACCCAGCCTCTGGGACTGGCCTGGAGTTTTGTATTAGATTTCTCATTTTCCAATAGAGCAGAACTAGTCCTGGAAACATTTGACGTTTACGGAATCGTGAAGTTTTGAAGGAATATGGGTGGGTATATATTGAGAATCGTTGTTTTTGCGAGCCATTGCAAAGGTACTCGGTCCCGACCTCTAGGACTGGCCTGGAGTTTTGTATTAGATTTCTCACTTTCCAGTAGAGCAGTACTAGTCCTGGAAGCATTTGACGTTTCCGGAATCATGAATTTTTGAAGGAATACGGGTGGGTATTTATTGAGAATCGTTGTTTTTGCGAGCCATTGCAAAGGTACTCGGTCCCGACCTCTAGGACTGGCCTGGAGTTTTGTATTAGATTTCTCACTTTCCAATAGAGCAGTACTAGTCCTGGAAGCATTTGACGTTTCCGGAATCGTGAATTTTTGAAGGAATATGGGTGGGTATATATTGAGAATCGTTGTTTTTGCGAGCCATTGCAAAGGTACTCGGACCCGACCTCTAGGACTGGCCTGGAGTTTTGTATTAGATTTCTCACTTTCCAGTAGAGCAGTACTAGTCCTGGAAGCATTTGACGTTTCCGGAATCATGAATTTTTGAAGGAATATGGGTGGGTATATATTGAGAATCGTTGTTTTTGCGAGCCATTGCAAAGGTACTCGGACCCGACCTCTAGGACTGGCCTGGAGTTTTGTATTAGATTTCTCACTTTCCAATAGAGCAGTACTAGTCCTGGAAGCATTTGACGTTTCCGGAATCGTGAATTTTTGAAGGAATATGGGTGGGTATATATTGAGAATCGTTGTTTTTGCGAGCCATTGCAAAGGTACTCGGACCCGACCTCTAGGACTGGCCTGGAGTTTTGTATTAGATTTCTCACTTTCCAATAGAGCAGTACTAGTCCTGAAAACATTTGACGTTCCCGGAATCGTGAATTTTTGAAGGAATATGGGTGGGTATATATTGAGAATCGTTGTTTTTGCGAGCCATTGCAAAGGTACTCGGACCCGACCTCTGGGATTGGCCTGGAGTTTTGTATTAGATTTCTCATTTTCCAATAGAGCAGAGCTAGTCCTGGAAACATTTGACGTTTCCGGAATTGTGAATTTTTGAAGGAATATGGGTGGGTATATTTTGAGAATCGTTGTTTTTGCGAGCCATTGCAAAGGTACTCGGACCCGACCTCTGGGATTGGCCTGGAGTTTTGTATTAGATTTCTCACTTTCCAATAGAGCAGAACTAGTCCTGGAAACATTTGACGTTTCCGGAATCGTGAAGTTTTGAAGGAATATGGGTGGGTATATATTGAGAATCGTTGTTTTTGCGAGCCATTGCAAAGGTACTCGGACCCAACCTCTGAGACTGGCCTGGAGTTTTGTATTAGATTTCTCACTTTCCAATAGAGCAGTACTAGTCCTGGAAACATTTGACGTTTCCGGAATCGTGAATTTTTGAAGGAATATGGGTGGGTATATATTGAGAATCGTTGTTTTTGCGAGCCATTGCAAAGGTACTCGGACCCGACCTCTGGGATTGGCCTGGAGTTTTGTATTAGATTTCTCATTTTCCAATAGAGCAGAACTAGTCCTGGAAACATTTGACGTTTCCGGAATCGTGAAGTTTTGAAGGAATATGGGTGGGTATCTCGGACCCGACCTTTGGGACTGGCCTGGAGTTTTGTATTAGATTTCTCACTTTCCAATAGAGCAGAACTAGTCCTGGAAACATTTGACGTTTCCGGAATCGTGAAGTTTTGAAGGAATATGGGTGGGTATATATTGAGAATCGTTGTTTTTGCGAGCCATTGCAAAGGTACTCGGACCCAACCTCTGGGACTGGCCTGGAGTTTTGTATTAGATTTCTCATTTTCCAATAGAGCAGAACTAGTCCTGGAAACATTTGACGTTTCCGGAATCGTGAAGTTTTGAAGGAATATGGGTGGGTATATATTGAGAATCGTTGTTTTTGCGAGCCATTGCAAAGGTACTCGGACCCAACCTCTGGGACTGGCCTGGAGTTTTGTATTAGATTTCTCATTTTCCAATAGAGCAGAACTAGTCCTGGAAACATTTGACGTTTACGGAATCGTGAAGTTTTGAAGGAATATGGGTGGGTATATATTGAGAATCGTTGTTTTTGCGAGCCATTGCAAAGGTACTCGGACCCGACCTCTGGGACTGGCCTGGAGTTTTGTATTAGATTTCTCACTTTCCAGTAGAGCAGTACTAGTCCTGGAAGCATTTGACGTTTCCGGAATCATGAATTTTTGAAGGAATACGGGTGGGTATTTATTGAGAATCGTTGTTTTTGCGAGCCATTGCAAAGGTACTCGGTCCCGACCTCTAGGACTGGCCTGGAGTTTTGTATTAGATTTCTCACTTTCCAATAGAGCAGTACTAGTCCTGGAAGCATTTGACGTTTCCGGAATCGTGAATTTTTGAAGGAATATGGGTGGGTATATATTGAGAATCGTTGTTTTTGCGAGCCATTGCAAAGGTACTCGGACCCGACCTCTAGGACTGGCCTGGAGTTTTGTATTAGATTTCTCACTTTCCAGTAGAGCAGTACTAGTCCTGGAAGCATTTGACGTTTCCGGAATCATGAATTTTTGAAGGAATATGGGTGGGTATATATTGAGAATCGTTGTTTTTGCGAGCCATTGCAAAGGTACTCGGACCCGACCTCTAGGACTGGCCTGGAGTTTTGTATTAGATTTCTCACTTTCCAATAGAGCAGTACTAGTCCTGGAAGCATTTGACGTTTCCGGAATCGTGAAGTTCCAACCTCTGAGACTGGCCTGGAGTTTTGTATTAGATTTCTCACTTTCCAATAGAGCAGTACTAGTCCTGGAAACATTTGACGTTTCCGGAATCGTGAATTTTTGAAGGAATATGGGTGGGTATATATTGAGAATCGTTGTTTTTGCGAGCCATTGCAAAGGTACTCGGACCCGACCTCTGGGATTGGCCTGGAGTTTTGTATTAGATTTCTCATTTTCCAATAGAGCAGAACTAGTCCTGGAAACATTTGACGTTTCCGGAATTGTGAATTTTTGAAGGAATATGGGTGGGTATATTTTGAGAATCGTTGTTTTTGCGAGCCATTGCAAAGGTACTCGGACCCGACCTCTGGGATTGGCCTGGAGTTTTGTATTAGATTTCTCACTTTCCAATAGAGCAGAACTAGTCCTGGAAACATTTGACGTTTCCGGAATCGTGAAGTTTTGAAGGAATATGGGTGGGTATATATTGAGAATCGTTGTTTTTGCGAGCCATTGCAAAGGTACTCGGACCCAACCTCTGAGACTGGCCTGGAGTTTTGTATTAGATTTCTCACTTTCCAATAGAGCAGTACTAGTCCTGGAAACATTTGACGTTTCCGGAATCGTGAATTTTTGAAGGAATATGGGTGGGTATATATTGAGAATCGTTGTTTTTGCGAGCCATTGCAAAGGTACTCGGACCCGACCTCTGGGATTGGCCTGGAGTTTTGTATTAGATTTCTCATTTTCCAATAGAGCAGAACTAGTCCTGGAAACATTTGACGTTTCCGGAATCGTGAAGTTTTGAAGGAATATGGGTGGGTATATATTGAGAATCGTTGTTTTTGCGAGCCATTGCAAAGGTACTCGGACCCGACCTTTGGGACTGGCCTGGAGTTTTGTATTAGATTTCTCACTTTCCAATAGAGCAGTACTAGTCCTGGAAACATTTGACGTTTCCGGAATCGTGAATTTTTGAAGGAATATGGGTGGGTATATATTGAGAATCGTTGTTTTTGCGAGCCATTGCAAAGGTACTCGGACCCGACCTCTGGGATTGGCCTGGAGTTTTGTATTAGATTTCTCATTTTCCAATAGAGCAGAACTAGTCCTGGAAACATTTGACGTTTACGGAATCGTGAAGTTTTGAAGGAATATGGGTGGGTATATATTGAGAATCGTTGTTTTTGCGAGCCATTGCAAAGGTACTCGGACCCGACCTCTGGGACTGGCCTGGAGTTTTGTATTAGATTTCTCACTTTCCAGTAGAGCAGTACTAGTCCTGGAAGCATTTGACGTTTCCGGAATCATGAATTTTTGAAGGAATACGGGTGGGTATTTATTGAGAATCGTTGTTTTTGCGAGCCATTGCAAAGGTACTCGGTCCCGACCTCTAGGACTGGCCTGGAGTTTTGTATTAGATTTCTCACTTTCCAATAGAGCAGTACTAGTCCTGGAAGCATTTGACGTTTCCGGAATCGTGAATTTTTGAAGGAATATGGGTGGGTATATATTGAGAATCGTTGTTTTTGCGAGCCATTGCAAAGGTACTCGGACCCGACCTCTAGGACTGGCCTGGAGTTTTGTATTAGATTTCTCACTTTCCAGTAGAGCAGTACTAGTCCTGGAAGCATTTGACGTTTCCGGAATCATGAATTTTTGAAGGAATATGGGTGGGTATATATTGAGAATCGTTGTTTTTGCGAGCCATTGCAAAGGTACTCGGACCCGACCTCTAGGACTGGCCTGGAGTTTTGTATTAGATTTCTCACTTTCCAATAGAGCAGTACTAGTCCTGGAAGCATTTGACGTTTCCGGAATCGTGAAGTTCCAACCTCTGAGACTGGCCTGGAGTTTTGTATTAGATTTCTCACTTTCCAATAGAGCAGTACTAGTCCTGGAAACATTTGACGTTTCCGGAATCGTGAATTTTTGAAGGAATATGGGTGGGTATATATTGAGAATCGTTGTTTTTGCGAGCCATTGCAAAGGTACTCGGACCCGACCTCTGGGATTGGCCTGGAGTTTTGTATTAGATTTCTCATTTTCCAATAGAGCAGAACTAGTCCTGGAAACATTTGACGTTTCCGGAATTGTGAATTTTTGAAGGAATATGGGTGGGTATATTTTGAGAATCGTTGTTTTTGCGAGCCATTGCAAAGGTACTCGGACCCGACCTCTGGGATTGGCCTGGAGTTTTGTATTAGATTTCTCACTTTCCAATAGAGCAGAACTAGTCCTGGAAACATTTGACGTTTCCGGAATCGTGAAGTTTTGAAGGAATATGGGTGGGTATATATTGAGAATCGTTGTTTTTGCGAGCCATTGCAAAGGTACTCGGACCCAACCTCTGAGACTGGCCTGGAGTTTTGTATTAGATTTCTCACTTTCCAATAGAGCAGTACTAGTCCTGGAAACATTTGACGTTTCCGGAATCGTGAATTTTTGAAGGAATATGGGTGGGTATATATTGAGAATCGTTGTTTTTGCGAGCCATTGCAAAGGTACTCGGACCCGACCTCTGGGATTGGCCTGGAGTTTTGTATTAGATTTCTCATTTTCCAATAGAGCAGAACTAGTCCTGGAAACATTTGACGTTTCCGGAATCGTGAAGTTTTGAAGGAATATGGGTGGGTATATATTGAGAATCGTTGTTTTTGCGAGCCATTGCAAAGGTACTCGGACCCGACCTTTGGGACTGGCCTGGAGTTTTGTATTAGATTTCTCACTTTCCAGTAGAGCAGTACTAGTCCTGGAAGCATTTGACGTTTCCGGAATCGTGAATTTTTGAAGGAATATGGGTGGGTATATATTGAGAATCGTTGTTTTTGCGAGCCATTGCAAAGGTACTCGGACCCGACCTCTAGGACTGGCCTGGAGTTTTGTATTAGATTTCTCACTTTCCAGTAGAGCAGTACTAGTCCTGGAAGCATTTGACGTTTCCGGAATCATGAATTTTTGAAGGAATATGGGTGGGTATATATTGAGAATCGTTGTTTTTGCGAGCCATTGCAAAGGTTCTCGGACCCGACCTCTAGGACTGGCCTGGAGTTTTGTATTAGATTTCTCACTTTCCAATAGAGCAGTACTAGTCCTGGAAGCATTTGACGTTTCCGGAATCGTGAAGTTCCAACCTCTGAGACTGGCCTGGAGTTTTGTATTAGATTTCTCACTTTCCAATAGAGCAGTACTAGTCCTGGAAACATTTGACGTTTCCGGAATCGTGAATTTTTGAAGGAATATGGGTGGGTATATATTGAGAATCGTTGTTTTTGCGAGCCATTGCAAAGGTACTCGGACCCGACCTCTGGGATTGGCCTGGAGTTTTGTATTAGATTTCTCATTTTCCAATAGAGCAGAACTAGTCCTGGAAACATTTGACGTTTCCGGAATTGTGAATTTTTGAAGGAATATGGGTGGGTATATTTTGAGAATCGTTGTTTTTGCGAGCCATTGCAAAGGTACTCGGACCCAACCTCTGAGACTGGCCTGGAGTTTTGTATTAGATTTCTCACTTTCCAATAGAGCAGTACTAGTCCTGGAAACATTTGACGTTTCCGGAATCGTGAATTTTTGAAGGAATATGGGTGGGTATATATTGAGAATCGTTGTTTTTGCGAGCCATTGCAAAGGTACTCGGACCCGACCTCTGGGATTGGCCTGGAGTTTTGTATTAGATTTCTCATTTTCCAATAGAGCAGAACTAGTCCTGGAAACATTTGACGTTTCCGGAATCGTGAAGTTTTGAAGGAATATGGGTGGGTATATATTGAGAATCGTTGTTTTTGCGAGCCATTGCAAAGGTACTCGGACCCGACCTTTGGGACTGGCCTGGAGTTTTGTATTAGATTTCTCACTTTCCAATAGAGCAGTACTAGTCCTGGAAACATTTGACGTTTCCGGAATCGTGAATTTTTGAAGGAATATGGGTGGGTATATATTGAGAATCGTTGTTTTTGCGAGCCATTGCAAAGGTACTCGGACCCGACCTCTGGGATTGGCCTGGAGTTTTGTATTAGATTTCTCATTTTCCAATAGAGCAGAACTAGTCCTGGAAACATTTGACGTTTCCGGAATTGTGAATTTTTGAAGGAATATGGGTGGGTATATTTTGAGAATCGTTGTTTTTGCGAGCCATTGCAAAGGTACTCGGACCCGACCTCTGGGATTGGCCTGGAGTTTTGTATTAGATTTCTCACTTTCCAATAGAGCAGAACTAGTCCTGGAAACATTTGACGTTTCCGGAATCGTGAAGTTTTGAAGGAATATGGGTGGGTATATATTGAGAATCGTTGTTTTTGCGAGCCATTGCAAAGGTACTCGGACCCAACCTCTGAGACTGGCCTGGAGTTTTGTATTAGATTTCTCACTTTCCAATAGAGCAGTACTAGTCCTGGAAACATTTGACGTTTCCGGAATCGTGAATTTTTGAAGGAATATGGGTGGGTATATATTGAGAATCGTTGTTTTTGCGAGCCATTGCAAAGGTACTCGGACCCGACCTCTGGGATTGGCCTGGAGTTTTGTATTAGATTTCTCATTTTCCAATAGAGCAGAACTAGTCCTGGAAACATTTGACGTTTCCGGAATCGTGAAGTTTTGAAGGAATATGGGTGGGTATATATTGAGAATCGTTGTTTTTGCGAGCCATTGCAAAGGTACTCGGACCCGACCTTTGGGACTGGCCTGGAGTTTTGTATTAGATTTCTCATTTTCCAATAGAGCAGAACTAGTCCTGGAAACATTTGACGTTTCCGGAATCGTGAAGTTTTGGAGGAATATGGGTGGGTATATATTGAGAATCGTTGTTTTTGCGAGCCATTGCAAAGGTACTCGGACCCGAACTCTAGGACTGGCCTGGAGTTTTGTATTAGATTTCTCACTTTCCAGTAGAGCAGTACTAGTCCTAGAAACATTTGACGTTCCCGGAATCGTGAATTTTTGAAGGAATATGGTGGGTATATATTGAGAATCGTTGTTTTTGCGAGCCATTGCAAAGGTACTCGGACCCGACCTCTGGGATTGGCCTGGAGTTTTGTATTAGATTTCTCACTTTCCAATAGAGCAGAACTAGTCCTGGAAACATTTGACGTTTCCGGAATCGTGAAGTTTTGAAGGAATATGGGTGGGTATATATTGAGAATCGTTGTTTTTGCGAGCCATTGCAAAGGTACTCGGACCCAACCTCTGAGACTGGCCTGGAGTTTTGTATTAGATTTCTCACTTTCCAATAGAGCAGTACTAGTCCTGGAAACATTTGACGTTTCCGGAATCGTGAATTTTTGAAGGAATATGGGTGGGTATATATTGAGAATCGTTGTTTTTGCGAGCCATTGCAAAGGTACTCGGACCCGACCTCTGGGATTGGCCTGGAGTTTTGTATTAGATTTCTCATTTTCCAATAGAGCAGAACTAGTCCTGGAAACATTTGACGTTTCCGGAATCGTGAAGTTTTGAAGGAATATGGGTGGGTATATATTGAGAATCGTTGTTTTTGCGAGCCATTGCAAAGGTACTCGGACCCAACCTCTGAGACTGGCCTGGAGTTTTGCATTAGATTTCTCACTTTCCAATAGAGCAGTACTAGTCCTGGAAACATTTGACGTTTCCGGAATCGTGAAGTTCCAACCTCTGAGACTGGCCTGGAGTTTTGTATTAGATTTCTCACTTTCCAATAGAGCAGTACTAGTCCTGGAAACATTTGACGTTTCCGGAATCGTGAATTTTTGAAGGAATATGGGTGGGTATATATTGAGAATCGTTGTTTTTGCGAGCCATTGCAAAGGTACTCGGACCCGACCTCTGGGATTGGCCTGGAGTTTTGTATTAGATTTCTCATTTTCCAATAGAGCAGAACTAGTCCTGGAAACATTTGACGTTTCCGGAATTGTGAATTTTTGAAGGAATATGGGTGGGTATATTTTGAGAATCGTTGTTTTTGCGAGCCATTGCAAAGGTACTCGGACCCGACCTCTGGGATTGGCCTGGAGTTTTGTATTAGATTTCTCACTTTCCAATAGAGCAGAACTAGTCCTGGAAACATTTGACGTTTCCGGAATCGTGAAGTTTTGAAGGAATATGGGTGGGTATATATTGAGAATCGTTGTTTTTGCGAGCCATTGCAAAGGTACTCGGACCCAACCTCTGAGACTGGCCTGGAGTTTTGTATTAGATTTCTCACTTTCCAATAGAGCAGTACTAGTCCTGGAAACATTTGACGTTTCCGGAATCGTGAATTTTTGAAGGAATATGGGTGGGTATATATTGAGAATCGTTGTTTTTGCGAGCCATTGCAAAGGTACTCGGACCCGACCTCTGGGATTGGCCTGGAGTTTTGTATTAGATTTCTCATTTTCCAATAGAGCAGAACTAGTCCTGGAAACATTTGACGTTTCCGGAATCGTGAAGTTTTGAAGGAATATGGGTGGGTATATATTGAGAATCGTTGTTTTTGCGAGCCATTGCAAAGGTACTCGGACCCGACCTTTGGGACTGGCCTGGAGTTTTGTATTAGATTTCTCATTTTCCAATAGAGCAGAACTAGTCCTGGAAACATTTGACGTTTCCGGAATCGTGAAGTTTTGAAGGAATATGGGTGGGTATATATTGAGAATCGTTGTTTTTGCGAGCCATTGCAAAGGTACTCGGACCCGAACTCTAGGACTGGCCTGGAGTTTTGTATTAGATTTCTCACTTTCCAGTAGAGCAGTACTAGTCCTAGAAACATTTGACGTTCCCGGAATCGTGAATTTTTGAAGGAATATGGTGGGTATATATTGAGAATCGTTGTTTTTGCGAGCCATTGCAAAGGTACTCGGACCCGACCTCTGGGATTGGCCTGGAGTTTTGTATTAGATTTCTCACTTTCCAATAGAGCAGAACTAGTCCTGGAAACATTTGACGTTTCCGGAATCGTGAAGTTTTGAAGGAATATGGGTGGGTATATATTGAGAATCGTTGTTTTTGCGAGCCATTGCAAAGGTACTCGGACCCAACCTCTGAGACTGGCCTGGAGTTTTGTATTAGATTTCTCACTTTCCAATAGAGCAGTACTAGTCCTGGAAACATTTGACGTTTCCGGAATCGTGAATTTTTGAAGGAATATGGGTGGGTATATATTGAGAATCGTTGTTTTTGCGAGCCATTGCAAAGGTACTCGGACCCGACCTCTGGGATTGGCCTGGAGTTTTGTATTAGATTTCTCATTTTCCAATAGAGCAGAACTAGTCCTGGAAACATTTGACGTTTCCGGAATCGTGAAGTTTTGAAGGAATATGGGTGGGTATATATTGAGAATCGTTGTTTTTGCGAGCCATTGCAAAGGTACTCGGACCCGACCTTTGGGACTGGCCTGGAGTTTTGTATTAGATTTCTCATTTTCCAATAGAGCAGAACTAGTCCTGGAAACATTTGACGTTTCCGGAATCGTGAAGATTTGAAGGAATATGGGTGGGTATATATTGAGAATCGTTGTTTTTGCGAGCCATTGCAAAGGTACTCGGACCCGAACTCTAGGACTGGCCTGGAGTTTTGTATTAGATTTCTCACTTTCCAGTAGAGCAGTACTAGTCCTAGAAACATTTGACGTTCCCGGAATCGTGAATTTTTGAAGGAATATGGTGGGTATATATTGAGAATCGTTGTTTTTGCGAGCCATTGCAAAGGTACTCGGACCCGACCTCTGGGATTGGCCTGGAGTTTTGTATTAGATTTCTCACTTTCCAATAGAGCAGAACTAGTCCTGGAAACATTTGACGTTTCCGGAATCGTGAAGTTTTGAAGGAATATGGGTGGGTATATATTGAGAATCGTTGTTTTTGCGAGCCATTGCAAAGGTACTCGGACCCAACCTCTGAGACTGGCCTGGAGTTTTGTATTAGATTTCTCACTTTCCAATAGAGCAGTACTAGTCCTGGAAACATTTGACGTTTCCGGAATCGTGAATTTTTGAAGGAATATGGGTGGGTATATATTGAGAATCGTTGTTTTTGCGAGCCATTGCAAAGGTACTCGGACCCGACCTCTGGGATTGGCCTGGAGTTTTGTATTAGATTTCTCACTTTCCAATAAAGCAGTACTAGTCCTGGAAACATTTGACGTTTCCGGAATCGTGAAGTTTTGAAGGAATATGGGTGGGTATATATTGAGAATCGTTGTTTTTGCGAGCCATTGCAAAGGTACTCGGACCCGACCTCTGGGACTGCCCTGGAGTTTCGTATTAGATTTCTCACTTTCCAATAAAGAAGTACTAGTCCTGGAAACATTTGACGTTTCCGTAATCGTGAATTTTTGAAGGAATATGGGTGGGTATATATTGAGAATCGTTGTTTTTGCGAGCCATTGCAAAGGTACTCGGACCCAACCTCTGGGACTGGCCTGGAGTTTTGTATTAGATTTCTCACTTTCCAATAGAGCAGTACTAGTCCTGGAAACATTTGACGTTTCCGGAATCGTGAAGTTTTGAAGGAATATGGGCGGGTATATAAAGAATCGTTGTTTTTGCGAGCCATTGCAAAGGTACACGGACCCGACCTCTAGGACTGGCCTGGAGTTTTGTATTAGATTTCTCACTTTCCAATAGAGCAGTACTAGTACTGGAAACATTTGACGTTTCCGGAATTGTGAATTTTTGAAGGAACATGGGTGGGTATATATTGAGAATCGTTGTTTTTGCGAGCCATTGCAAAGGTACTCGGACCCAACCTCTGGGACTGGCCTGGAGTTTTGTATTAGATTTCTCATTTTCCAATAGAGCAGAACTAGTCCTGGAAACATTTGACGTTTCCGGAATCGTGAAGTTTTGAAGGAATATGGGTGGGTATATATTGAGAATCGTTGTTTTTGCGAGCCATTGCAAAGGTACTCGGACCCGACCTTTGGGACTGGCCTGGAGTTTTGTATTAGATTTCTCACTTTTCAATAGAGCAGTACTAGTCCTGGAAACATTTGACGTTTCCGGAATCGTGAATTTTTGAAGGAATATGGGTGGGTATATATTGAGAATCGTTGTTTTTGCGAGCCATTGCAAAGGTACTCGGACCCGACCTCTGGGATTGGCCTGGAGTTTTGTATTAGATTTCTCATTTTCCAATAGAGCAGAACTAGTCCTGGAAACATTTGACGTTTCCGGAATTGTGAATTTTTGAAGGAATATGGGTGGGTATATTTTGAGAATCGTTGTTTTTGCGAGCCATTGCAAAGGTACTCGGACCCGAACTCTGGGATTGGCCTGGAGTTTTGTATTAGATTTCTCACTTTCCAATAGAGCAGAACTAGTCCTGGAAACATTTGACGTTTCCGGAATCGTGAAGTTTTGAAGGAATATGGGTGGGTATATATTGAGAATCGTTGTTTTTGCGAGCCATTGCAAAGGTACTCGGACCCAACCTCTGAGACTGGCCTGGAGTTTTGCATTAGATTTCTCACTTTCCAATAGAGCAGTACTAGTCCTGGAAACATTTGACGTTTCCGGAATCGTGAAGTTCCAACCTCTGAGACTGGCCTGGAGTTTTGTATTAGATTTCTCACTTTCCAATAGAGCAGTACTAGTCCTGGAAACATTTGACGTTTCCGGAATCGTGAATTTTTGAAGGAATATGGGTGGGTATATATTGAGAATCGTTGTTTTTGCGAGCCATTGCAAAGGTACTCGGACCCGACCTCTGGGATTGGCCTGGAGTTTTGTATTAGATTTCTCATTTTCCAATAGAGCAGAACTAGTCCTGGAAACATTTGACGTTTCCGGAATTGTGAATTTTTGAAGGAATATGGGTGGGTATATTTTGAGAATCGTTGTTTTTGCGAGCCATTGCAAAGGTACTCGGACCCGACCTCTGGGATTGGCCTGGAGTTTTGTATTAGATTTCTCACTTTCCAATAGAGCAGAACTAGTCCTGGAAACATTTGACGTTTCCGGAATCGTGAAGTTTTGAAGGAATATGGGTGGGTATATATTGAGAATCGTTGTTTTTGCGAGCCATTGCAAAGGTACTCGGACCCAACCTCTGAGACTGGCCTGGAGTTTTGTATTAGATTTCTCACTTTCCAATAGAGCAGTACTAGTCCTGGAAACATTTGACGTTTCCGGAATCGTGAATTTTTGAAGGAATATGGGTGGGTATATATTGAGAATCGTTGTTTTTGCGAGCCATTGCAAAGGTACTCGGACCCGACCTCTGGGATTGGCCTGGAGTTTTGTATTAGATTTCTCATTTTCCAATAGAGCAGAACTAGTCCTGGAAACATTTGACGTTTCCGGAATCGTGAAGTTTTGAAGGAATATGGGTGGGTATATATTGAGAATCGTTGTTTTTGCGAGCCATTGCAAAGGTACTCGGACCCGACCTTTGGGACTGGCCTGGAGTTTTGTATTAGATTTCTCATTTTCCAATAGAGCAGAACTAGTCCTGGAAACATTTGACGTTTCCGGAATCGTGAAGTTTTGAAGGAATATGGGTGGGTATATATTGAGAATCGTTGTTTTTGCGAGCCATTGCAAAGGTACTCGGACCCGAACTCTAGGACTGGCCTGGAGTTTTGTATTAGATTTCTCACTTTCCAGTAGAGCAGTACTAGTCCTAGAAACATTTGACGTTCCCGGAATCGTGAATTTTTGAAGGAATATGGTGGGTATATATTGAGAATCGTTGTTTTTGCGAGCCATTGCAAAGGTACTCGGACCCGACCTCTGGGATTGGCCTGGAGTTTTGTATTAGATTTCTCACTTTCCAATAGAGCAGAACTAGTCCTGGAAACATTTGACGTTTCCGGAATCGTGAAGTTTTGAAGGAATATGGGTGGGTATATATTGAGAATCGTTGTTTTTGCGAGCCATTGCAAAGGTACTCGGACCCAACCTCTGAGACTGGCCTGGAGTTTTGTATTAGATTTCTCACTTTCCAATAGAGCAGTACTAGTCCTGGAAACATTTGACGTTTCCGGAATCGTGAATTTTTGAAGGAATATGGGTGGGTATATATTGAGAATCGTTGTTTTTGCGAGCCATTGCAAAGGTACTCGGACCCGACCTCTGGGATTGGCCTGGAGTTTTGTATTAGATTTCTCATTTTCCAATAGAGCAGAACTAGTCCTGGAAACATTTGACGTTTCCGGAATCGTGAAGTTTTGAAGGAATATGGGTGGGTATATATTGAGAATCGTTGTTTTTGCGAGCCATTGCAAAGGTACTCGGACCCGACCTTTGGGACTGGCCTGGAGTTTTGTATTAGATTTCTCATTTTCCAATAGAGCAGAACTAGTCCTGGAAACATTTGACGTTTCCGGAATCGTGAAGATTTGAAGGAATATGGGTGGGTATATATTGAGAATCGTTGTTTTTGCGAGCCATTGCAAAGGTACTCGGACCCGAACTCTAGGACTGGCCTGGAGTTTTGTATTAGATTTCTCACTTTCCAGTAGAGCAGTACTAGTCCTAGAAACATTTGACGTTCCCGGAATCGTGAATTTTTGAAGGAATATGGTGGGTATATATTGAGAATCGTTGTTTTTGCGAGCCATTGCAAAGGTACTCGGACCCGACCTCTGGGATTGGCCTGGAGTTTTGTATTAGATTTCTCACTTTCCAATAGAGCAGAACTAGTCCTGGAAACATTTGACGTTCCCGGAATCGTGAATTTTTGAAGGAATATGGTGGGTATATATTGGGAATCGTTGTTTTTGCGAGCCATTGCAAAGGTACTCGGACCCGACCTCTGGGATTGGCCTGGAGTTTTGTATTAGATTTCTCACTTTCCAATAGAGCAGTACTAGTCCTGGAAACATTTGACGTTTCCGGAATCGTGAA